GGCTAAGTAATCTGCTCGGGTTTGCTCTCGGGAACTTTTGTTCCCTGCAAGCTTTCTGTACAGCTTTGGAGGATGAGAGTGAAAATGGTGGCCTCCCCATCTCCACCCCAGAGGATAAGAGAACTCGGGGCCCCACTCCTCAATGCACCCCCAGAGAAAAGCAGTCAGTCGCTCCCATCTCTCTGGTCTCTGGCTGCACTCCGTGCTCACCCGACCAGTGACCGAGCATTTCTATCTTTGGCACACGACCCGTGTGGAGTCTCCAAACCCAGCAGATCCCTGCAGTGCACTCCCCCGCCGCTCCTCCTGGGGGAGGAAGGGGAGTCTCCCGGATCTGCCGCTTGTTGGGTCCCTGCTGGAGGAGCAGTGGCCCGACTGTGCCGCAGATCACGGTTTATGGCAACCCCGAGCTGAGAGCCTGCGCCTCAGCTTCATCTCTGCAGCCAGCTTCCCCGCTCCCATACCTGGGATCTCTGCCGCGCTCAGGCACCCCCAGTCTTTCTGTGACCCCGAGGGTCCTGAGACCACACTGTCCCGTGAGAGTTCCACCCCCCGCTTAGCCACTGGAGCGCCGTCCCTCAGCGGAGCCGACTTCTAAAAGTTCCGATTTTGTGCTCCGCGGCTCTATCACTTGCGGGTATTGACCGATGGAGGCCCCCTCCCCTGCCATCTATCCTCCCAAATATCACCTTGGATTCACTTCTCCACACGTCCTACCTTCCAGAAAGTGGTTGCTTTTCTGTTCAGAGAGTTGCTGCTATTCTTTTCTTCAATCTCCTATTGAGTTCGGAACATGTAAGCATTTCTTCCCCCTTTCAGCAACTCAGCCTGTCTCGTGGTGGCCACCCCCTTAATATTCCAACCACCTTCATGGTCACTCTCCTGAGCTTTGGCTTGGACACACCTGGACTTGAATTATGCCCATCAATGAGTAGCTTAATGACATGACATATTACTCTCAATATTCTTATCCAAAATACGAAATTAGTAATAAGAATGCAGCTTTATAGAGAGCCAATATATCACAAGGCTTTGGAGTCAAGAGCTTGGGTTTCGATCTTTTTCTATCACATCTTACCTCTCAAACTCTCAGTGCCTTAGTTTCTTCATCTGTAAAAGAAAGAGGACATTGACAAAAACTGCACTGTAATTTTGTTAGTGTGTGTGTGTGTGAGACAAATTATATATAATGTGTTTAGAATATTGCATTGCATGTGGTAATCATTGTATAAGTGACAGCCTTGCCACCTAGCACTGCTCATAAACTAAGGATGGAAGAGAACAAGGGAGCAATTGAAACTGTGTGCTGTTTACATACCATGTGTCAGTTTCTCTAAAGTGTGACCACATAGAAGGATAGATAGATGATAGATGATAGATGGATAGATAAATAGATAGATGATAGATAGATAGATAGATAGATAGATGATAGATAGATAGATAGATAGATAGATAGATAGATGATAGATAGATGATAGATAGATAGATGATAGATGATGGATAGATAGATAGATGATAGATAGATAGATGATAGATGATAGATGGATAGATAGATAGATAGATAGATAGATGATAGATAGATAGATGATAGATAGATAGATAGATGATAGATAGATAGAGACAGACATAATTTTTTCTAACCCATGAAGCAACTGTCTGAGATACCTGTCATTTTTACAGTATGGATGAAGATATATACATTAAATTGCACTAGGTCACACATCTCACATGTGGCCAAGATGAGATTCTAACCAAATTCTTACTAACTCTAAAGTAAAATCTTATCTTTTCCCAATATCTTGATGACTTTGGAAACAGACGTAGGAATAAATGAACCACTGTCCTATTGTAGTCCTGCCTCTCATTCACACTCTGAGGAAGTAACATGACAGTATATTAATCCTTCTGGTTCCCTTAGGCTTCTCTGTGCTTGTGCCCTAGGGTGTCTGAATGATTATATGACACACACACAAATGAAGTTCACACCACTGTCACTGAAAGAATAGGTTTTACATAAATGAGAGAACAACCCAAAACAATTTTGTTCCCTTCCTGGCAATATTACCATGGATCATTGAATACTTGGCTTGTTTGTTTTATGTATTTCCAAGGACATCTTTTGAGGTTAAGAGAAAAGTTTTTGTACTTCAAGCTCAAGCTCCATTTTTTTTCCTACTCCTGGAAAAATTCTGAGATTCCTGAAGCAAGCATTGACAGAATTTTTAGACTTAACACCCTGAATTATACTAGCATAAAAATAAATGGGAGCTATTTTTGTTTGCACAGAACATATAATCAGTGAGGAGGCCATATACAGTAATATTTTTGAATTAGAAGCCAACTTATTACTAAATTTTTTGCCCACTTTATTCAGTCAGTCAACTAATATTCATCAGGCACTCACTAGAAGCCAAGAATTCTAATAAATGCCAAAGATAGAGAAATGATTAATCATTTTGGTTTAGTATCTTTTTTTTTTGAAGATTTTATTTTTTCATTTGAGAAAGAGAGAGAGAGAGAGAGCACAAGCAGGGGAAGAGGCAGAGGGAGAAGGAGAAGCAGACTCCCTGCTGAGCTGGGAGCCCCAAATGGGGCTCATCCCAGGACCCTGGGATCATGACCTGAGCAGAAGGCAGACGCTTAACCATCTGAGCCACCCAGGCGTCCCATTTTGGCTTATTATCTTGATAGGATTTGTGGAGTCACCCTAAACACTTTCCTATCAAAAATATACTCACAGCTGATTTTAATGGCATTTGTTTTCACTTCATTAATATCACCTTTACTTCATATTAACAAAATAACCTTCACTGCTCTGCCTAGAGTACAGCATACTACTATCTATTAAATCCTGGAAAGAAAGAGCAAATTGCTCTACAGTTATCATTCTAAGGCAGGCTCTAAAGTCAATTTATGTTTAATAATAAGTGTATTTTTCTTCTCTTCATATCATTATTAGTCCATCCATTAATCCATCACTTTAATCCCCTGAACCAGCTATTGTGCTATATCTGGGTGCAAAAAAGTAAGCAAAATCAGATCCCTACATGCAGAAGCCAACTATCCAATGGAAGACAGAGTTATTCAGCAAACAAATAAGATAAAACTATTGAACATGGGATCTGATAGTTACTAAATTCTGAAATACATCTCTCAGGGTTTATATTTGAAAGGAAGTTTGAGCTTGGAGTCTATTTGCTTGTTTGTTTGTTCACTGCAACAGTAAAATAACCACGTAATTATACCTGTTTTTCTCTTTCCCTCAATGTACCATTTTAGGATGTTAGAATTCTCATAGAAAGAAAACAACACGGAATATGGAATTGATGGATGGAAACTACACTTTGGTGGCTGAGTTTGCTCTTTTAGGGTTTCCGACCCACCCTGAACTGCAGATTGTCCTATTCCTTATGTTTCTGACATTGTATGGTATGATTTTAACAGGGAACATTGGACTGATGATGTTAATCAGGATCGATCCTCACCTTCAAACCCCTACGTATTTTTTCCTTAGCAACCTCTCCTTTGCAGACCTCTGTTACTCCTCAGTCATTGTTCCCAAAATGCTGTTCAATTTCCTCTCAGAAAACAAAGGTATCTCTTATTATGGCTGTGCCTTACAGCTTTATTTTTTCTGCACTTTTGCCGATACCGAATCCTTTATCTTGGCTGCCATGGCATATGATCACTATGCTGCCATCTGTAAGCCTTTACTGTATACAGTTGTGATGTCTCGGAGCACCTGTACATGGTTGATTGTCTTGTCCTACATTGGAGGTAACATGAGTTCCCTGGTTCACACATCCTTTGCCTTTATTCTGAAGTACTGTGATAAAAATGTCATTAATCATTTTTCTGTGACCACCCTCCCCTGCTTAAGCTATCCTGCACAGACATATCAGTTAATGAGTGGCTTCTCTCCGCTTACGGCAGCTCAGTGGAAATTATCTGTTTCATTGTCATCATCTCCTACTTTTTCATCCTTCATTCAGTCTTGAAGATCCACTCTTCCAGTGGGAAGAAGAAAACCTTCTCCACATGTGCCTCTCACCTGACTTCTGTGGCCATCTATCAGGGGACCCTTCTCTTCATTTACTCACGGTCCAGCTACCTGTATTCTCCCAACACTGATAAAATTATCTCCGTGTTCTACACCATTATCATCCCAGTGCTGAATCCGTTGATTTATAGTTTGAGAAATAAAGATGTAAAGGATGCTAAGAGAGCTCTAAGGTTAAAGGTGGATTCTTTATGAACTATGATGTTCTGAGATTCATCTAAATCCCCAGTTACAAACTGTAATTGGGAACATGCAACATGCCTACTAGCAGACCCACAAGAGATATTATCCAGCACCTGGTTTTCATACAGCCAAATTCAAGTCATAACCTCGTGACATAAGAAAACATTTAAAAGTTTCAAAATTGCTGCTAAATAATAGACTACCATTCAATGATTACTCACTTGGAGTTAATGCTAAAAGGTGTTTTATCAGGTTGTCTCAAGGATATAATAAATAAATCAGAAAAGTGTGTGTGTGTGTGTGCTCATGTGTTTGTTCATGTGAAATATATCTCAGTTACATGGTAGATTACTGGATGAGGGAGGAGGCCAGATTCCCTTGGTTCTTATGCCAGCTCCGTATCCGGCTAGTGAGTGGCATTTTGAACAAGTTACTTCATTTTTCTATGCCTCAATTAACTTATCTGTAAAATGGGGAGAATATAGTACACATGTCATCGAATGTTGGATGATTAACTGAAAACATGCTGTGAATAGTATCTGTACCACTTTTGGCCCTTGATAGATGTTAATTATATATATTTTTATAATAGTTCACATTATTTAAAATGTATATTGTACAATGAGATGATAAGAGGCAGGGATGTAATGGAAGCAATAATACAAAATCAAATCCATTTTCTTCAGTTCAGTTCAGTAATATGATGCTAACCTTCTATACGCAATCTACTCCAAAGGAATTTGGAAACTTTTTCTAAATAGCACCTTGAAGAATATAAGTTAATTGCAAGGCAAACTATTGGATTTGTTTCCCTGTCTATCTTTCATATTTTATACACCAAAGTATTATTAGAGGGATGGAACATCTTTCTCTGGCATCTCAGAAACAGAATCAGCTCTCCAATATATCACCTGGATCGCCATGAAGAGATCAACCCACATGCCCTGGTGGGACATCTGAAGACTGAAATTAGAGGCATGTCTCGGCAAAATGTATTTCAGTAACTGATATTTTATACTGTACATTATTTTTTTGTTATTATATTATTTTTGTCTCTATGATAATAAATACAAGCTTTGACCCGGAAACATCAAGGTTTAAAAAGTATGTTTAAATCCATGTAATCTTTGCTGCAAAAATCCCCACAAGATACAGCCCAAATCATTGTCAGTTTTAAATTCCCCTAGGAATCTTTGGATCTCAGACCAAGAAGGCTTCTCCTGAGCATTTCTGTTGTTTCACTCGCTAAGAAGAGAGCAATCACTCACAACTACACACCCACCAATATATTCTAATATTAAATTTATATTTACTTAGCCAAGATTTGCTTGGCCAAGATTATAGAGACTCACACAGAGCCATACAGATGAGTATCTATCAACAGCTTTTCATGTTCGCTAAGCTCTTAACATATGCAAGCATCTATTGGTGAGAGGGTTCACAGCGCAATATTACACATCCAGCTGCCTATGAAAATCTTAGTTTTGCAACACCACCGCCTTTTCATGCTCAATAATTATATCACTAAATATTACACCACTTAGGAGAAAATATAGCTGTTTCCAAGTGAAGAAATAACTAAAAATACAGGGTATCAGAATTTTTTCAAGGTCAGAAGGGCTGTTGTTATGTGTTGAGCTTTCTAGATGGCCCACATGGCTTCTCCCACTGGGAGCATCCTATATTCATCCCCGGGGGGTTCCAGGCACCTGCTAAATTTCCAAGACTGCGTGGTAGCCAGCAAGGCCTGAATTTGTACTTTAGGTCCAGCAGAGTCAGAACTTTCCGAGGCCACCCACTTAGCTAGGCCTTCCTCTATGGTTTTTGCTGAGGCCTGTGTGGTCCCCGTATTCCTGAAGCTGCTGAATCATCATTTAGGTAATAAAAGCAGAACCACTGTAAACATTATGGAAATAGGAAGTTCATGCCTGAACCTCCTGCAAATTTCTTTTTACTAATTCTAACCTGAAACCACACTGGAAAGATTTGGGATATGCAGATCCCAGCCATAGCCACATTGGCAGCAAGATCCCAAATAATCCACCCCTTTTCAACATGCTCTTCAGAGACACATCTTATAATCACAATCAACGTTCAAATAAGACAACAGCAAAAGTGTGCTTATTTTTAACAGATGCATGCATACAACTGAAAGAAAAAGAGGCTACACAAAGTTTTATATGCCATTTTATCCTTATGGGGTGGTCTAGGGTCCTTCTAGCTAAGTCGCACGCCTTTGATATCCTATAACTTACAAAAAATTTAAGATAGAAGTTTAAACCTTCTCACCATATCTTGTGTTAAGAAGCAGGGGGATGGGAGAGGTGGAAATATTGGCTAATATATTTATATCAAAACAAGGGAAAATCACAACCATAACTCCTACAGTGTTGTTTTCACGACTGGCCACATGATCATAGCTGGCACATAGAATTTCCTTTTCTCCACAACCTCTTCCATATTCCCTTAAATTTCAATGAGCATCCCAGTTGCCTTGTCTTCTTGTCTTGTGAAGTGGCCCAAACCTTTATCCCTCAAGTATAGGCAACATTATTAGTTCTTTCTCTCGGGGACAGTTACAGTTTTCTGTCAACTTTTTAATCCTAGATATGGAATTCTAAAAGGTGCTCCTAGAGGCTCTCTTGCATTCCAGGAACACACCCCACCACCCCAACTCTATAGTAATGATCACCTCTTCCCTTTATATTCAAGAATGATCATCCCAACTGGTAAAGAAACCTCTTTCTGCCTGTTGAGTAAGAAGCATAAGGGTCTCAAAGTGACCAGATAGCAGTCTTGGTATTAGTTGAGTGGAACTAATGTGTTCCCTGTTGTAAGAATTACTTTTTATTTATTTATTTATTTATTTATTTATTTATTTATTTATTTATTTACAAAGACCAACAGCCCTAAAATTGTAAGGACCAGAAGCAAACTTTTCTTTAGTGGGTCATTAGGAATAATAAGAGAGGGACTACCTCTTTTTCTCTGCTTTTTCAGAATTATCAGCATCTAGGTGAACTTCTTTAAATGCATTATCCTTGCACATATGAGATATATTAATAGAAAAATCCCCAAATCCAACATACCACTATTCTTTGCACATCACCTTCCATTTCAAATAGCCAGAAAGACTCAGCAATGAATATTTAGAAAGCAACCACTTTTGCAAATGCCTGTGCTAAGGAGTTTAGAGAACACAAAATCTAAACATTGGCCTTATTCCTGAAGTCTCAAATGTAGTATATTTTATATATTTTTATATATAATTTTTACCCATACAAAAAGGAACATAATTCAATAAAGAATGTACTAAGTATAGAGAAGGTGATGGAATCCCAAAGCCAATGAAATGGTGAATGATATGTAGTCGGCGGATGGGAAGAAATGCTCCCTGAGGAGAGCAGCCTGGCAAGCAAGGTGCAATTGACAAGAATGCTTTTAGTGTCATTGTTCACAATAGTCAAAAGGCAGAAAGAACCCAAATGTTCATGCAATTGATGTATGAATTAACCAAATGTTAATTCCATAAAATGAAATATTATTCAGCCATAAAATGAAACAAAATTCTGACACAAGCAGCAACATGGATGAACCTTGAAAAAATTAGGCCGGAGGAAAGAAGCCCCAGGTGACTTAATGCATGTATATAACGTTGTTCATACAAAATGCCCAGAGAGGGCAGTGTGCAGACTAGAAAGTGGGTTAGTGGTTTTCAGGAGCTGGGAGAGGGGGCACCGAATGGGTATGGGTTTCTCACAGTTCTGGGGTTAGATAGTGGTGATGACTCAACAAACTTGAAAATATGTTAAAAACCAAAAAAACTGTATACTCTGAAAGGGTGAATTGTACAGCAATCAATGACACTTCAATAAAAAAGAAAGTATCATCGAATTGTAGTAACATACCTAAATGTGGTGTGAAAGAGAGTGTTTCAAATACAGAAGAAACAAAATGAACAATGGAAAGGAGCTAGAAATGATTAAAGAGGGATTGACTTGGGTTTCATTAGATTTCCTCTCTGACTAGAGGAAAATGATATAAATTCAGAGAAGCTGAAGCATACTATAAAAATAATTTGGGGTATTCTTCCTGGCGTAGATCAACTTGGTGACAGTAGTGAAGCATTAAAGCTCAGCCTTTGCTAAAGTTGTTTCTGAATTCACAGGGGGCTATACAGAACCAGAAATATAATTAATGACATGTTTGTGTAACATCAAAACCTAAGGGCAGTAGCTTCAGAGATTTGAGTCCCAAATGCACCTGCTAAAATAAAATGCTAGCTGCCTATTGTTTGGCCACCAAAGACCTGCTCATCTCAGGTAGGCTTTGAGGTTCTAATTTAAAGAATATAGGGGGGAAAAAAACTTACCTTTTAGGAAAAAAAAAAGTTGTTTTTTTTTAAATAAAGCATCTTTTGCCTGTTTACTCAACTAAATAAACTCTGCAATTTAATGGCCAAAATTATTTTCTTTTCAAAACTGAAAGCATCTGTCTAAACTTAGTATTCCCAATATAACTTTTAATTATTTTATTTTATAATTAAATATTGTTTATATTTAATAGGCACCACTTTACAAGTAACAATATGCACAAATGCTTCTTCGTGTGAACCACATGCCGTATTTACTTTGGTCTAAAGAACAAGTCCATTGTCCACTTCCTATTCTCATGTACAACAGAGACAGATGTACATGTAAACACATGACACACATACATAAACACACACACAAGGAAGAGAACCTTGTATCTCTCAGAAGCATTTATAGTTCCTCATCTTGTTTCCTTTTTTTTTTTTTTAAGAGAGAGAGAGCAGGGTTGGTGGGGACAGAGGGAATGGGAGAGAGAGAATCTCAAGCTCCATGCTTAGCGTGGGAGCCCTTCTTGGGGCTCAACCTCACGACCCTGAGATCATGACCTCAGCCAAAATCAAGAATCAGACGCTTACCCAACTGCGTCACCCAGGCTCCCCATCTTATTTCCATTTTTTAATATAGAGGTCCATTCAAAATCCAAACAGATGCAAATGTATGTGTTAAATTCTGTTGTTTTTACTTTTTTTTTTTTTTTTAGAATTTTTCTTTGGTTAAAAGACTCCTCCTTCGGCACCAGACCACTCCACAAATAGGTCATGAGTACTGTGGCAAAGCAATAATACATTTCTAGAGAAAGGTCAATAATGCTTATTTCATGTCTCAGCAAACAATAAAGACAACTCAGACCAGGATCATTAACATAATTATTTTCATTATTATTAGTGTGGGACATGATCATTGTTTCTAAAACTAATACAAAAAATCTTTTAACCTGATCATGTTTTTTGAAGATATAATAAATATACTCTTTTTTGTGTGTTCATGGAACATTTTCAAGCATACAAAATTGCTTAGTCCTACATTTTATAGCCTGGTCTCTCTAACATTGGTGTTTCTTCCATATAATTTTTTTTAAGATTTTATTTATTTATTTGACAGAGAGAGACACAGAGAGAGAGGGAACACAAGCAGGGGGAGTGGGAGAGGGAGAAGCAGATTTTCCACAGAGCAGGGAGCCCAATGTGGGGCTCGATCCCAGGACTCTAGGATCATGACCTGAGCCGAAGGCAGCCACTTAACAACTGAGCCACATAGGTGCCCCCTTCCATATAATTTTTGAAGATGTAATGAGATATCAATTCATCCAAATATCTTCCTTGACACAAGGGAGATAATGCTCTGAGAAATGAAAGAGCTTGTAGAAAGTCTCATACCTTATAAATGACATCTAGATTTAGATCAAAGTCCCTCAACCACCTACCATAGATATTTTTTATTATTGTCACATTAGATAGTAATGTGTCTTTAAAGAGTGACTATTGACCAAATAATTTTATGAGTATACAAGACAATTGCAGAAAGAAGTTGTGTTCTGCTTTACAGATATTGTGTGGTTGTCAGAAGAGCTGTATGTGCATCTATCATTTTATTGATCATTTTCTCAAAAGTTTAGACAAGAATAAAGAAGAATGGATGAAGGAAATTGCACATCCTTGACAGAATTCATTTTCTTGGGCATTACCAATAACCCTGGGATGAAAGTGACCCTATTTACAATGTTTCTTGTTGTTTGTCTCATTAATCTTGTTGCAAATCTTGGAATGATCATTTTAATTAGAATGGATTCCCAGCTTCACACACCTATGTACTTCTTCCTCAGCCACTGCTCCTTCTGTGACCTCTGCTATTCCACAGCAGTTGGGCCCAAAATGTTGGTAGACCTTTTAGCCAAAAACAAATCAATCCCCTTCTTTGGCTGTGCTCTTCAATTTTTGATCTTCTGTATGTTTGCTGATTCCGAGTGTCTACTTCTAGCAGTGATGGCCTTTGATGGGTACAAGGCCATTGGCAACCCCTTACTCTACACAGCCAACATGTCCAACAGAGTGTGCTCCCTGCTCATGGCTGGAATTTACATGCTGGGAACGGCAGATGCTTTGATACACACAACCTTAACATTCCACTTATGTTTCTGTGGATCGAATGAGATCAATCATTTCTTCTGTGATTTACCTCCACTCTACCTCCTTTCCTGCTCAGATACAGAGATCAATGAGTTGGCATTATTCACCGTTTTTGGCTTCATTGAACTGAGTACCATTTCTGGAGTTCTCATCTCTTATTGTTATATAACCCTATCAGTCATGAAGATCCACTCTGCTGAAGGGAGGTTCAAAGCTTTCTCCACCTGCACCTCCCACTTAACTGCTGTTGCGATTTCCAGGGGAACCATGCTCTTCATGTATTTCCGGCCGAGTTCTTCCTACTCTCTTGATCAAGATAAAATGACCTCATTGTTTTATACCCTTGTGATTCCCACATTAAACCCACTGATTTATAGCCTATGGAACAAGGATGTGAAAGAGGCCTTGAAAAAACTGAAAATTAAAAAGTGGTTTTAAGTATTTATATCACATACACATGCTTTGTGGTTGTTGTTTTTGTAAAATTATATTGCATAACACAAGAGAAACAAAGTTGTCTCAAAAACTTTAATTTAACAAAATGAGTTTGTTTTAAAGCCCTATCACTATAATTTTGCATTTCCCTAAATATATCATACTTTATTATGTGTCTACATTTTATATATAGTACGCCCACTCTGTGGAAAGCTTTTCTGACCTTTCTAATTTTGCCAGATATTTATTTGTTCATTCTTTCTTTCAAACATCAATTTATTACACTTAGATGTATTGTGTGTTTACTAAGTGAACTGGAGTATGTAAGTGCTTTATATCCTATAGTACATCTAGTAGTGTTCATCGTAATGAATCTTATAGTTTATTCAAAGTAACCAACATTACTTACCTAAACACCAAGTAATTCACGAGTCTCAAACTCATTATGAAGTAAAAACATGAGGCTTTTATCCAAAGAAAATGTCTAAATCTAGAGTAAAAGAAAGGCTTCTTTGGCTAGAGATACTGAGTCTCAGATCTCAAAAGATGCAAGTTGGGAGAAGTAAAGATAATAGGCAGACTATCTGACAATTAGAGACATCTTGAGGTGGACAAGTGGTGACTTTTTAGAAGTAAAGAAGTATGGTTGCCAAAACATGGATGGACCTTGAGGACGGAAGTTATGCTAAGTGAAATAAGTCAGACAGAGAAAGACAAATACTGTATGATCTCACTTATATGTGGAATCTAAACAAGTTAAACTCATACAAGCAAAGAGTGGAATGGTGATTACCAGGGGCTTGGGGAGTGGGGGGAAATGGGAAGATGTTGGTCAAATAATACAGCCATCCTGCTATAAGATGAATAAGTTTTGGGGAATGTACTGTACAACATGGTGACTATAGTTAACAATACTGTACCGTGTAACTGAAATTTGCTAAAAATTTGCTCTTAAATGTCCTCAACACAACAAAAAATTGGTAACTAAGTAAGGTAATGAATTTATTAACCTTACCAGCAATGATGATTTCACAAATTATACATATATCAAAACACACATTGTATACCTTAAAAAGGCCCAATGCCATATGTCAATTTTATCCTAAGAATGCTGGGGAAAAAAAGAAGAAAATAAGTCAAATGGTTAGGTTGTAAAGAGTAGTGGAAGGGGCCTTGGTAAAATACTTCATTGCCCTATAATTATCAAAAATCAATTCCTCTATCAATGCTCCAGGGAAATTTCCTTCTTTCCTTGTCCCTTCTCAGTCCTGGATAAATGTCCATTTTTGTAATGCACAGTAAAACATCTCCTTTAAACACTGTTTTAATATCATTCTGTTTATTAAATCACTGCTTCTAATATGAGACTGGAAGCATTCTTGGTCAAGGATTGAACATTTCATCCCCATTATCCAAAACACCTGCATACACGCTAGGAAACAAAATGGAAAAGCAAATAAATAATAAATTAAAAACACCAGATAATATTTTTGAGTATTTATTATAAGTTAGAAACATAATTATATGATTGTAAGTCATGGGGCCAGAATATATATATCATATATTATATTATGTTATATATATTATAACTTTTAAGAAAGTACATAAAATGGTTGTAGATACTAAAGTAATGGATCAATAAAGACCTACATATTAATTACACTAGATGTAAAGAGCATTCATCTGTGTATGTTCTTGGTATCGGTCTATTTCATCTTTCTCTGCTCTAGTTTCTAATGGTTAAAGCAAAAGGCAGCTTGTTGAAATAACATGGAAATACCGTTATGTTTAAAAAACCATATCAGACCCAAGGACACTCTTAATTATCTATTACAACTGTAGAAGCTAAAAACCATTGAATTTCTTAGATTTTGTAGCTGCTATTTTTAAATATTTTTGTGCAGAAACACTTCAGCGTGGATGAAACAGCTCCTCTGCTTTTTAAGGGTACATTTGTGGAAGACTGACCTGTCACTAGGTATCATGCTGGGGGAAAAAAAACCAAAAAACTGCAAAGAAATTTATTTTTTTTAATAAAGGCTTTAAAGATTTCCATCTGTACCATATTTTCTCAACACATACACTTTTGAAATTGTTACTTATGAGCAGCAGAATGGAAGAAAAAATTGTTTTAAATACACAAGTCCAAGAAAAATAGAGTGTGGGTGGATTGTTGTTTAAACTTAGAGGATTTCAATATGTAATCTGATTAACCAGCCTTGCTTCCTTATGACAGCCATATTTTACAGCCTCTAAAGATTGATTTGGTCTACATATTGACTGTTTTATCAGATCTAGGGGGTTTGAACTGAGAAATAGAAATGGAATTCCAAAAGTAGAATTGACTGATATCAATTAATTGTGGGCTTCCTCTCCCTAAATTTAAAGCCAGGTAATATAAATTTCAGAAGACCAAGTGCTTGTAAATATGACCCATTTTAGTGGACAGTTATGCAAATTCAGAATTTCATAGACACTTCTCGAGTGGATATCCAACTTTCTTGGTATTCAAAGAATAAAAATGAATACTTAAATGTAGTATATTATGACTCACCTACAGAATTGCAAAATATGTAAACAATTGAAATGCTGAGTATTGATGAGGATTTGGAGCACCCATGGCTCTTACACACTGAGAGTAGGGAGAAGAACTGGCATTTTACTTTGTAAAGCTCTATGCTTGTCTATAAGCTGATGGCTGAACATAGAAATGTCTTATGACATAAAATTCTATTCCAAGATTTATACTGAAGTGAAATGAGTGACTATGTCTGCCCAAAGACATGTACAAAAACATTCATCATTGTTATTTATCATAGTATTAGACTGAAAACAACTAAGATATCTCCATATATAGTTAGAAGTCCGTTTCTTGGTTTGTCTCTCTTTCTCTCTCTTTTTTCCTTTGCTCTTTTGTTTCTTAAATTCCACCTATAGTGAGGTTATATATATATCCCAACATGATGGAATATTATACATAAATACAATGGAATGTTACTCAGCCATCTAAAAGAATAAAATCTTGCCATTTGCAACGATGTGGATGGAGCTAGATAGTGTTTTGTTAAGTGTAACAAGTCAGTCAAAGAAAGTCAAATACCGTATAGTTTCACTTATGTGTGGAATTTAAGAAACAAAACAGATGAACATAGGAGAAAGAAAAAAAAAGAGAGGGAGGCAAACTATAAAAGGGATTATTAACTACAGAGAACAAACTGAGGGCTGCTATAGGGGAGGTGAGTGGGGATGGGCTAAATGGGTGATGGGTATTAAGAAGAGCACTTGTGATGAGCACTGGGTGTTACATGGAAGTGAGGAAACACTTAATTCTACTCCTGAAACTAATATTGCACTATATGTTAACTAACTAGAATTTATATAAAAATTGGAAACATTAAGAAATAAAATAACCACCAACTTATGAAATTAAAAAAAAACAACAACTTACAAATTAACCTATCACACTACACATCACTTTGTGGTGGTTCTAGGGATGATTTTTGAAGATGCTAGTAGTGTTGGGGCGCCTGGGTGGCTCAGTTGGTTAAGCAGCTGCCTTCGGCTCAGGTCATGATCCCAGGGTCCTGGGATCGAGCCCCGCATCGGGCTCCCTGCTCGGCAGGGAGTCTACTTCTCCCTCTGACCCTCCCCCCTCTCATGCTCTCTCTATCTCATTCTCTCTCTCAAATAAATAAATAAAATCTTTAAAAAAAAAAAAAGATGCTAGTAGTGTTCTTTTTTTGGCCTGGTTTTGAGTGAAGGGAATCTTTGTTTCTGAAATATTTGCAGTATGCTTTCTCAAATAAAAATTTTCTAGAAATATCTATATCTATACCTATCTATCTATATATATCATATATATATGATACTCTATAAATATATTTTCCAAAAACAAAATATATTTTCTCTCAGATTGTAAACAACCACAGGGTTTTTCTTAAATCTTGTATTCCTTGCACACAGTAAGTGATGTTCATAATATATCCATAAAATTGATGTAATGCACATATGTCATAGAATACCTCTGTGCACATTCTTCATGTTATTAAAAATTCTGACATCGGGAATTAAGTTATCTAACGTGTAGTCACATAAGCTCAGGTGTAAATCATGGGAAGGAGTATTCTGAAGGGAAGTTAGTTTACATGATCTTAAGGAGAAGCCCTGTTTGAGAGGCTAAAGTTAGGTCCTGGTTGAACAAAAATGGAACCTGAGGGATTTTCACGTCCCTCTAGGCAGGGGGAGTGCCTGAGAGAACAATTAATTTGAAAGGAATCAGAAGAAAGGACCAAGGACAATTCCACATCCTCCAAATATGGACCAAAGAAGTAAACAATGGTAGAAAATGTCTTGGGTAACACAAATGCATCAGTTTCTTGAGTTTAACTCTTGGGCAATTAGTAGCAATTGGTTACATGGTTTCGCCTTGCATCCACAATATCTCCCACAGCAATACTTTTGGTATCTTAGTATTGGGACCATCACACTTTCCAAATTTAAAAGTGTACTAATTTTGTTGAGGATCGTTCTAGCTTTATAGAAAGTAACGGACAAAAACAACATACTAATAAAAGAGAGAGAGAAAAAAAAAAAAAAAGAAATCAAACAAGAAGAAATCCTGTGCCCCTGCTAACTCTCAGGTGAAGTTTCTGAATAAATAGGAGAGTACCCGGAGGACTCAAGAACAGAAACTCGTATATGCCTGATACAGCTTACTTTCTTCCCTCCTTAGCTTATGCATTTACTGGTTTAGTAGCAATTAAATTAACTACATTAAGACTCAGAAAATACAGTGGGTGTGCATAATTATTACACATTATCTGGAAATACCTATCAACAGTATCAATCTGTGGTGTCAGGTGTGTTGTCCTGATTAGCATATTGTAATAGGTCACTCAGGATATGACCAGTCCAGAGAGCATCCCCTGGGGCTGCCATGGTGCACAACCTCATGGCCACCACTTCTCTTATTTTCGATTTACTCTCTGGAATTATGCAATGCA